GTCAGAAAAAGCCCAGGTCCAGATGGATTCACAGCCAAAGTCGACCAGAATTTGGGAAAACTGGCTAGCCATGTGCAAATTCTACCAGACATACAACGAGGAGCTGGTACCATTCCTTCTGAAACTATTCCAAGCAATCGAAAAAGAGGGAATCCTTCCCAAATCATTTTATGAGACCAACATCATCCTGATACCAAAACCCAGCAGAGACTCAAAAAGAAAAGAAAACTTCAGGCCAATATCCATGATGAACATAGATGCAAAAATCTTCGATAAAGTACTGGCAAACCGATTGAAACAGCACATCAAAAAGCTTATCCACCATGATCAAGTAGGCTTTATCCCGGGGATGCAAGGCTGGTTCAACATACGCAAGTCTATAAACGATTCACCACATAAACAGAACCAAAGACAAAAACCACATGATTATCTCAATTGATGCAGAGAAGGCCTTTGACATCAACAGTGCTTTATGCTAAAAACCCTCAATAAACTAGATATTGATGGAACGTATCTCAAAATAATAAAAGCTATCTATGACAAACCAACAGTTAATATCATACTGAATGGACAAAAACTGGAAGCATTCCCTTTGAAATCTGGCACTAGACAAGGATGCCCTCTCTCACCACTCCTATTCAATATAGTATTGGAAGTTCTAGCCAGAGAATCAGGTAAGAAAAAGAAATAAAGGGTATTTAAATAGGAAAGGAGGAAATCAAATTGTCCCTATTTGCAGACGACATGATTGTATATCTACAAGACCCTATCATCTGAGTCCCAAATCTCCTGAAACTGATAAGCAACTTTAGCAAAGTCTCAGGATACAAAATCAGTGTGCAACAATCACAAGCATTCCTATACACCAATAACAGACTTAAAGAGAGCCAAATCAAGAATGAACTGCCATTAACATTTGCTACAAAGAGAATAAAATACCTGGGGATACAACTAACAAAGAAGTAAAGGACCTCTTCAAGGAGAACTACAAACCACTGCTCAATGAAATCAGAGAGGAACAAACAGATGGAGAAACATTCCATGTTCATGGTTAGGAAGAATCAATATTGTGAAAATGGCCATACTTCCCAAAGTAATTTACACATTCAACATTATCCCCATCAAGCTACCAATGACCTTCTTCACAGAACTGGAAAAAACCACCTTAAACTTTATATGAAACCAAAAGAGAGCCCGCATAGCCAAGTCAATTCTAAGCAGAAAGAACACAGCATGAGGCATCACACTACCAAACTTCAAACTATACTACAAATTATACTACAAGGTGACAGTAATCAAAACAGCATGGTACTGGTACCAAAACAGACATATAGATCAATGGAACAGAACAGAGGCTTTGGAGGCAGCACCACACATCTACAACTATCCGATCTTGGACAAACCTGACAAAAACAAGCAATGGGGAAAGGATTCCCCGTTTAATAAATGGTGTTGGGAAAACTGGCTAGCCGTGTGCAGAAAGCAGAAACTGGACCCCTTCCTGACACCTTACACTAAAATTAACTCCAGATGGACTAAAGACTTAAACATAAGACCTAACACCATAAAAACCCTGGAAGAAAATCTAGGCAAAACCAATCAGGAATTAGGCATAGGCAAGGACTTCATGACCAAAACACCAAAAGCATTGGCAACAAAAGCCAAAATAGACAAATGGGACCTAATCAAACTCCACATCTTTTGCACAGCAAAAGAAACAGTCATTAGAGTGAATTGGCAACCAACAGAATGGGAAAAAATATTTGCAATCTAGCTATCTGACAAAGGGCTGATATCCAGAATCTACAAAGAACTAAAACAGATTTACAAGAAAAAAACAAACAAGCTCATTCAAAAGCGGCAAAGGACATGAACAGACACTTTACAAAAGAAGACATAATGAAGCCAACAAACTGTCTATCTTGAGGTTGGCCCAATATAGACTCTGAGCTTCTTTGTTTTTGTGTGGTCACAGTGTAGCGGGAGCTACCTAATCCTCTTGGGTGGGAATTTGCTAAGCCCTGTACCAGGGAATTCAGAAATAAGGACAAATCTGCCTTCCAAGATCACCCCAGTTAGAGGATCTAAATATATTTGTGATGGAAGAAGAAAAAATAGAAAATGTGGATGAGTGATGTTTTTTTACAAACAACTTAATAAACATTGATTAGTCCCATATTTATATTGAAACTACCTTATATCTTGGCTTTTTTTTTTGTTATTTTTGTTGTTGCACAAGTAGATGAATGTAATTGTTGACTTGGCCAATACCAGGGAAAGAACATCTTTTTTTTTTAATTGCATTTTAGGTTTTGGGGCACATGTGAAGAACATGCAAGATAGTTGCATAGATACATACCTGGCAGTGTGATTTGCTGCCTTTCTCCCCTTCACCTATATCTGGCATTTCTCCCCATGCTATCTCTCCCCAGCTCCCCCCCCACCGCTGTCCCTCCCCTATTCCCCCGAACAGACCCTAGTGTGTAGTGCTCCCCTCCCTGTGTCCATGTGTTCTCATTGTTCAACACCTGCCTATGAGTGAGAACATGTGGTATTTCATTTTCTGTTTTTGTGTCAGTTTGCTGAGAATGATGGTCTCCAGCTTCATCCATGTCCCTACAAAGGGTACAAACTCATCGTTTTTGATGGCTGCATAACATTCCATGGTGTATATGTGCCACATTTTCCCTGTCCAGTCTAATCATCGATGGGCATTTGGGTTGGTTTCAGGTCTTTGCTATTGTAAACAGTGCTGCTATGAACATTCGTGTGCATTAGTCCTTATAGTAGAACAATTTATAATCCTTTGGATATATACCCAGTAATGGGATTGCTGGGTTAAATGGATTTTCTATTTCTAGGTCCTTGAGGGAGCACCACACTGTCTTCCACAATGGTTGAACTAATTTACACTCCCACCAGCAGTGTAAAAGTGTTCCTATTTCTCCATATCCTCTTCAGCATCTATTGTCTCCAGATTTTTTAATGATCGCCATTCTAACTGGCATGAGATGGTATCTCAATGTAGTTTTGATTTGCATTTCTCTAATGACCAGTGATGATGAGCATTTTTTCATATGTTTGTTGGCCTCATCAATGTCTTCTTTTGTAAAGGTCTGTTCATATCCTTTTCCCACTTTTGAATGGGTTTTTTTTTTTCTTCTAAATCTGTTTTAGTTCTTTGTAAATTCTGGATATCAGCCCTTTGTCAGGGTAAACTGCAAAATTTTTTTCCCATTCTGTTGGTTGATCATTCACTCTAGTGACTGTTTCTTTTGCCAGGCAGAAGCTGTGGAAAAAACCACCTTAAACTTCATATAGAACCAAAAGAGAGTCCGCATAGCCAAGTCAATTCTAAGCAAAGAGAACACAGTCTAGGGCGTCACACTACCAGACTTCAAACTATACTACAAGACTACAGTAATCAAAACAGCATGGTACTGGTACCAAAACAGACATATAGATCAATGGAACAGAACAGAGGCTTTGGAGGCAACACAACATATCTACAACCATCCGATCTTTGACAAACCTGACAAAAACAAGCAATGGGGAAAGCATTCCCTGTTTAATAAATGGTGTTGGGAAAACTGGCTAGCCATGTGCAGAAAGCAGAAACTGGACCCCTTCCTGACACCTTACACTAAAATTAACTCCAAATGGATTAAAGACTTAAACATAAGACCTAACACCATAAAAACCCTGGAAGAAAATCTAGGCAAAACCATTCAGGACATAGGAGTAGTCAAGGACTTCATGACCAAAACACCAAAAGCATTGGCAACAAAAGTCAAAATAGACAAATGGGACCTAATCAAACTCCACAGCTTCTGCATGGCAAAAGGAAAGGACATATTATAATTTTCCGTTTGGTGAGTGACAAATGCAAGCTCACCAGAACCGTGGAATCTTTGGCCTTTCTTGTTTTTAAAGTTATGTACACGTTATTGAAATATCCAAGTAATGGGAACAAAGGAAAAACACATGAAAAGTGTTTCTAATCTAGGCAAACTGTGGCCAAGGTAAAGAATGTCCCTGCCATGTCTAGAAAATCAACTTAGCAAGCAAAGAAGGTAATGTTTACTCTTCTTTTCCACTATACACTGATAGTTTTTTTTCCCCCAAACTATTTTTGATTATGTTTTTTGAACCCTGTATTTATTATTTTGACTGTGCAGAAGAAATACCTTTGAGGTGACATCCTGGGGGGTTCTTTGAAATAATTTTTTATTAAGCTTTGCTGTGTCTATTTTCTATTTGTGTTTATTTTAACTCTTATTTTTAGAAGGAGAATTTTTTAAGAAGGTCAATGCAGTATCTTTGTGACTGAATTCCAAGAGTTCTTAACAGGGGTCCTTGTATATAAGGGTGTTGAATCATTATGAACTGGGAATGCATCCAAGTTGATGCTTAACTGAGAATTCTCTGTTAAATATATAGAAGTGAAAGCAATCTTTCAAAATAGGCATGTGGGCCCTGGAAACATAAAAATGAGTGAACATAACATCCCAAATACAGCAGCAAAGGTGACAGCTGGGACCTCAGCTTATCATGCCTCTAATCTGGGCTGTCTCCTTATCCCTTTCCTTTTATTTGATGGAGTTCTACTTTCTGACGTTGGTGACACTCATCCCATCAACTTTCATTTGTTCATTTTGTCCTCCCCTGGGCTTTCATGTACCAAATATTTGCAGGGCCTAGTGTGGTCCTGACCTGGATTGCATCCTTGCTATGCTACTAGTAGCTAATTGACCTTGAACAAGAAATGTAACTTTTTCAAGTTCCAGACTCTACCTGTAAGTGGGAGACCTTTATACCTACTCCAACATGGAAAATGTGTCCAGCATGGAGAAGTTCCTTGATATATGTTAGCTTATGTTGCCATTTTAAGATCAGTTACCATATTGGATCATTAAAAATTGATAAACTAGGGAGAAATATGCAATGTACCATCTAGATATTTAGTGCAATATGAAAAAAAGTAAATCTGGAGGTAGATATTTACTTACAAAATTAATTTTATTTTGCAAAACTCAACAAATACATGTTCAGATCTGGTTTCTCTTCAAAACATGTGTTTGCTTTTTTAACAAACATGCAAGTTAATTTGGCATGCCAAACATCTTTCTCTCTAGCTCTCCTTGGAAAACTTTTTTTCGTAACACAAACAAGAGTTCAAATATTGTTCAAACCTATTTACATTTGTACCCTCTAAATGACATACATTAATATTTGTTGGGAGGAAAGGAAAACTGCAAACTTAGTCTTTGGCATTCACATTTGCTTCAGCAGTATAATTAAAACCTTATATTTGTTTTGAAGATAAACACTTTGAAGTAAATTTTAAAAATCTTGCTTTGGCTCTGCAAAGGAGCCACAATATCAAAGCACTTAACTGAAGCTGTTGAGTTCCTGCTGGTAGAATATTACTTCCAGCCTATTTATTAGCTTTTCTTCCTGTAGCCCAATACTTGCTTTTTTTCTCTGTCTACTGAATAAAACACAAAAAGGAAACATTTCTTTTATCTTTTCCCCCCAGCATCATGCAAGGCAAGGCAACCCCACAAATCACAATATCTGAATTTACTTTGATTATACTTTTGTTTCTTACACTTAAAATTATTTTGTATTATAATACTTACTTGGTTATCTAAAATCAACATTGTTGATTTTAAACGGTTATAAAGCCAGACTTCAAGAAGCATTTAAAACAATTCATGAACAGTGTACGAAGGGATATAACTGCCTCCAGCTTATTCTTTTACATTTGAACTAAAAGTATCATCAGCTTACTCGAAAATAAGACTTAGGGGATCCATATAATTTATCCACATCTTTTTGTACATCGTAAACAAGGATAAGATACTTCTGACAGTAGCCTATAAAGATTTAAAAAAATATATCCTTCAGCATAGAATAAGTATCAAGGGAGCACTTTAAGTATGATTCTGGTAGTTCTGTTATGAACCTGTTTTCCAGAAAAATTTTGTAGGAATTGTTCCAATTTTAAATAAACTAAATTCATAGATTTGTGTTGAGAGAATATGGTATGTGAGGTAAAGTCATTGTATTATCTATGGTCTGATGCACAATGTAGCATGTGTGAAAGAAACTAAAGAGACATCTACTTCAAACTCCCGGCGGAAGGCAGAATATAACAGTGCCTAGAGAAGAGAGTGCTTTTCAGGTCAGATAGTGAATGAAGACAGGATAGTTACCTAAATCAATGAATTGTAAGCAACATATAAATATGCAATGCCATTTCACAGAATGTGAACAAGATCAGTTAGCAGTTGTACTGTGATATCCACATATTTTTGAGAAAAATTCCCAAGCCAGGCGAATGTGGATTGGAATAAAGACATAGGCAGTGTATACCACCATAGCAATAATGGTTAGCAAGATGGTGTTAAACATAGATTGCTCCCAGGGCTCTAAAACAGCACAGCAGCTAATGATTTGGTATTGATAGTAGAGCCAAGAGAAATATTCCTTCACACGCCTCAAATCCATGGTTGTCTCCTTCAAGCTGCAGTAAGCTTGTCCTGTTAAAGAATGTAACAGTTTAGAATATAAGGAACCAAACACAGAATCTCTTTAAAATTTCATGATCTCAGCATGTTAATATCTTTCAAAGATTTTTAAAAGATTATTGGATAGATTATTAATAGATGAATATTCTATAAAATAGTACACAGTATATTAATATTATATATAGTCACTACTAATAATAATTACTACTAAAATTGGTAGCAATAATAGTATTAGTAGCAGTAATATCTATCTAAAGATGATAATTGCTAGAAATAACTTTAGTGATAACAGTACCTAAAAATTGAGGTTAGCCTCATTTTCCAAAGCCACGTATACAAAGATAAATAAAAGTGAACTTTTCTATTTCCTACAGCATATATTCTGGCAGAAGATTTAAAAAATGGTGTGCACAGAAGAAACTATAGCAAGCCCAAGGTTACTCATCTTCAGAAGGGCATGCTTGCAAGTTTAGTCCTTGGCTGGCATCTGAGAACTTGGCTTTTGGAACGTTCTCTCCATCTCCTAATAGATAAGGAAGATTCACTGTACCTAGCCTGTACAAGCAATGCGATTTATAGTGAACAGCTACTGTATTCTGGTACTCTGGAATTTTGGTAATTGCCAAGCAAAGTGTGCCCACATGACCACCCCAGTATAAACTTTGGATGCTGAGTTTCTTTCTAATGAGTCTCCCTGGACAGAAGCTATACATACATTACTGCAGTTTTTGCTGGTAGAGAAAGGAACACTTATGTGGAGAGTGCTCTGGAATCTAGAGAAATCCATGTACATGCTTCTGATGTGTCCACGAATAAATACTGTGTGGATAAATATATGTTGGGTCCCACAAGTCCTTCTATGAATCATTGGACATGTGGGTGGTCTTATGGTTCCCTGAAACAGATGGGAAGCCCTAAGTGTACCTTTGGGTGGTCTTTTGGTTTTTTAGTATAGAACTTATAAAAACCACATTAGCGTTTAATTAGCCTTCAGATATGACCACAGTTATAACCATAAGTAAAACTTCTTAGAAAGCTTCCTGGGGGCTGGGCACAGTGGCTTATGCCTGTAATCCTAGCACTTTGGGAGATTGAGATGGGCGGATCACTTGAGGCCAGGAGTTTGAGGCTAGCCTGACCAACATGGCAAAATCCCATCTCTACTAAAATATACAAAATCAGCTTAGTGTTGTGGCATGCATCTGTAATCCCAGCTACTTGGGGGACTGAGGTGGGAGGATGGCTTGAGCCTGGGAGGCCAAGGTTGCAGTGAGCTGAGATTGCACCACTGCACACCAGCCTGAGCGACAGAGTGAGACTCTGTCTCAAGAAAAAAAAAAAAGCTTCCTGGGAGATTTTGGAGACTTTCATAGGCATAGTGGTGGGTGTCTCTGAAAATATAGGCTCATCTTTGTGCTTCTTTTGCTTACTCCTAAGAATAACATGGTGCCACATCATCAAAGTCCACTTTGATAACTTTTACTATTCCAAGTACAGTTAGGATTTTTAAAGATAATTTCTATCTTCTGACCTGAAAATGTTTCTTTTTTCTTTTGAGGAAAAGCAAGATGCTTTCATACTATAAGACTGTGGACTCCTTGGGCTATGGGGAAACCCTCACTGATCCTTGTATACTTGATGCTGGAATCATGCATATCACCAAGATAGTCATCAGTAAGTATTTGCTGAAGGAATGAGTAAATGAATGAATGACAAGTAATCAACTTAAACAAATAATATAGAGCACTTATAGTCTCAATCAAAGTAGGATACACTTAGCTATTATTGATTTTCATACAGCTAGGCTTTCATAAGAATTAATACATTTTGACAAGATTGTTTTCACAAATTAAAAATGGAAAGCCCATGTGTGATCAGATCACAATTATCTGTAATAATGGTTAAGATAATCCAGTCAGATAGATAATACAAAACTGAAGCATTCTGACTGTCTTACAGAATGAAAAGTCTGACAGCCTCCCACCTTTCCTAGAAGCCAGAGTAAGAACTAAGTGATTTGATTTAAATTACTTCAATAACTTATATTATGAAACTTAAGTTGGTAGGTGGACATCAGTGATAATTTACCTCCAATGTTCTTTTTCTCTCCCCGCTCTGGATGCACACAAAGAGCGAAAGTCAATAGGGTTAGGTCTTGGAGGAAATGAATGACAGAAGGAGAGTGTCTTAGGCTGTTTGTGCTGTTATTACAAAATATCCTAGACTGGGAAATTTATAGATAATAGATATTTATTTCCCAGTTTTTCAGGGTGGAAGTTCAAGATCAAAGGCCCAGAAGGTTCAGTGTCAGGTGAGGGCACTTCCCTGTCTCTACTTCTAAGATGGTACCTTGAATGTTATGCACTCACATAGCAGAAGGGATGGAAGGGCAAAAGGCTGACTCTGTGCAAAGCCTTCTTTTATACAGGCTTTAAGTGCTTTATGGGAAAAATATCATGTATAAGGGGCTATGGGAAACCTGAGCACAGCTCTGAGGAAGAGACTTTTAAGTTCCAAGGGATCTTTATGAGTCAGATGGATAGAATAGGCAGAGACATGGGGAGAACAGCCAAGACAGAGGGAACAACCTGTGCAAAGGCTGGAGGTGGGAAGAAGTAGGCTGGTTTTGAGGGGCCAGGGAGGGAGCAGGGAGCGAGATGACACTAAAGAGGCAGGAATGGCCAGAGTGAGGCCAGGAGCTACAGGGCCTAGTTGAGTAGGTTTTATCTTTAATCTCTGAGTTAGGGTAATGCTGTGGTGGGTTTGAGAGGAGACTTTAAGTTCATGCGCATTCCATGGCTGCATTCCAAAGCCAAGTTGAAAGGATTTGGGGGCTCAATTATTTCAGAAAATCAGTACCTCTACTTTTCCCTTGGGCATTACTCTTCCAGAATCAACAGTATAATGAGACTGTGTTTAAAATATTCTTAATGCTTTTTTCACTTTTGCAAATGAGATAATACTGCTTATTTAGAAATACTATTAACTTTTTCTCTATATGTTATTCTTTTTAAAAATGTTTTCCTCTAAACTTGATGACTTTAAAATTGCTCTTAAAACTTATTTATTTATTTTTGAGATAGAGTCTCGCTCTGTCACTTAGGCTGGAAGGTAGTGGTGTGATCTTGCCTCACTGCAACTTCTGCCTCCCAGGTTCAAGAGATTCTCCTGCCTCAGACTTCTGAGTAGCTGGGATTACAGGAACATACCACCATGCCCCAGTATTTTTTTTATTTTTTTTGTATTTTTAGTAGAGGCGGGTTTTCACCATGTTGGCCAGGCTGATCTCTAACTCCTGACCTTGGGTGATCGCCTGTCTCTGCCTCCCAAAATGCTAGGATTACAGGCATGAACCGCTGCACCTGGCCTGGTTATGGCTTTTAAAAATGTGCTAATTGCTGTGAATGGTGGCTCACACTTGTAATCCCAGCACTTTGGGAGGCTGTGGCAGGAGGATCACCTGAGGTCAGGAGTTGGAGACCAGCTTGGCCAACATGGAGAAACCCCATCTCTACTAAAAATACAAAAAGTTGCTGGACATGGCGGCAAGCAGCTGTAATCCCAGCTACTTGGGTGGCTGAGGCAGAAGAATCACTCGAACCTGGGAGGCAGAGGCTACAGTGAGTTGAGATCTTGCCATTGCACTCCAGCCTGGGCAATAAGAGCAAAATTTCATCTCAAAAACAAACAAACAGACAAACAAACAAACAAAAAACACGAATTAAACTAGGCACGGTGGGACAGGACTGTAGTCTCAGGTACTAGAGAGGCTGAGGCCAGCATGAGAGGATCCCTTTGGTCTAGGATTTCAAGTCCAGCCTGAGCAACATAGTGAAATTTTGGCAAAAACAAAACAAAATACCCTAAATTTAAAAAAAGATGCATTGATTAATCTCCTGACTATTGCTTTCTCTATTCAAATTAGAATTCCTTGCTTGGGCAGCCCTGGCCAACACCTTAACCATGGCCTTGAGAAAGACCCTGAACCAGAGGCGCCCAGCTAATCTGTATGCAGATTCCTGAGCCATAGAAAGTCTAAGATAATCACTGTCTATTGTTTTAAACTGCTAAAAGCCAATCAATCAATCAAACAAACAAACAAACAAAAAACAGATAAAAGCACACCAACAGCGGATACATGGAAAGACCTTGGTCACAAATACCCCAAATCTGCAATGACAAATCTGGCCATTTTAAATAACTTTTGCACTGCTAACAATTTAAGCAGTTAAGATTAAAAAAAAATTTTTTTTTCTTGCCAGTTTCCACAATCTCAGCCCTTTAAGTAGCCAGATCTGATATGTGCAAAGTGTCTCTTGAAAGCCCTGATTGTCTCTTTTTATTTGATTCATTTTCCCCTTATTGATGAGAAGTAATTTTAAAGACAGTTTGTCATTTCTTATTATGAGATGGTGAGAAGAGAGAGCCTTGGTTATTATTGGTGAACCATCTGCTACAATCTATTGTTAGAATACATACCATTTTTAGGTTCTAGATTTGCTTAGGTAATATATTTCTACCTTCTGTGAGTCAACTTTATTATCTCCTATGGGACTATATAAATAATTAAAAGAAAAAACCACTTTAGACAATTTGATGAGTAATGTGGTTAGGAGAATTCATTCATTCAATGAATGAATACATTTTGAGTACTACTGTGTGGCTCCTTCTGAATATTAATGGCTTCAGAAAGACTCTATTCTCAAAGGCATTACAGGCAGGAGATGTTCTTTCAGGAAGCAGCAAACTGGACCATGTAACAACATGCAGTGATCTAGGGTCCAGGAATGAGCAATAAGTGGGAGGAAAGGACATGGAATAATGCTAAGAAGAAAGCTAGAAAAAGAGGCTGCATGTGAGGATATAAGTTGACAGAAATATCATGAAATTAATTATCCACAGATAACCTAGACCTAGATGACAGCAAACATTTTAAAGTCCTAAATGTTCACAATGAAATGTGATATTAATCTGTCCACTTCCTTAGAGACCTAGTGTTATATTTCAGCAAAGCTAAACCAAGAACTTGAAATGCTCACTTTATTCAGGCACACCATGCATCTCCTGTTTTTAGTTATGTGCTTTTGAAAAGATAACTTTTGATATATGGAAAAGAAGGAGAGGGTAGTTTATTCTTTTTAAAAAATTTTTTCCTCTAAACTTGATGACTTTAAAATTGCTCTTAGAACTTTAATGAGAGTGTGTATTCAAAGGTAGCACTCTGAAGGAGACTGTGATGTATCTTCAGGCAGGGGTACAGTGGTCTGGATAGAGTTTAACTCTAACATGCTGAGACTGTGTGATAATACTTGCTGAAGACTGAATGTTTCTGTCTTGGAAGTCCATTAAAAGGTTATTTCATAACTGGGAATGCAGAGTAAATGGGTATTTCTTATTTCTGATTGTTACTACTCTTTTATCAATGAGTGACCATTTTCCTGTCATTTTAGATTTGTGTGAAGTGAAGGAGATGAAGTTACATCTCCTCTCTCAGATGGAGAGGGAGAAGATTCGAAACTCATGACTCATATTACTCAGGGGCAGGACTTAGTTCAGGCTTGGATGGAGAATAAAGTGAATAAATGTAACAATTTTAAAAAACACATGTGGTAACACGAACACTAGTGTATGAGTCATGGAATGTGAACACTGTTGAGGGGAGCTTGCAGGAAAAGTGGTGGCTGAGCTTGCTCAGGGAGCTCTTTGTTGTTGTTTTCTGTTTTGGGGAACAGGACTGGCAGGAAGTTAGGCAACTACATTGAAAGAGGAGTAGCAGATGATTTGGTGCAGTGGCATTTACCTTGGCAGTATTGCAGAAGATGTGATTCTGTAGCCCTCCCCTGCCAAAAAAAAAAAAATACTCCAAGTTATTAGATTTTCTCATTAAGGAATTTCCCATTCAGAAAAGTAGCTATTCTCTTGGGGAAAAAAAGACTTAATACATTTTGGGTTAAATTTACTTCTAGAACATCAGAATCAGGATTGAAAGTCAGAAGGACCTATAGTTGATTTTTGGGTTAACTCCTTCTCATCTCACTTTGGAACTCTACATCAATTACTCAGCTTCATTTGTGTGTGTGTGTGTGTGTGTGTGTGTGCGCTTCATATTTGGAACCTGAAAATCTGAGAAGTGATAGAAGTGTCCTGCCAGTTGCAGAGAGAGATGCTGTAACTAAAAAGAGACTGTTTCTGTAGTCACAGTAGCTTTCTTTGGAAACAGCTTAATATGACATGCTCAAGTACAAGCCTTCCTTTAACTGAGTAATTCATTTATTTAAAAAATTAGGCATATAGCGATTTTCTTCCAAAGAATACAACATGGAAAAAGTGATTAAAAAATGAGTAACTTTACAGTGAAGGAAACTGATAAGCCCTGCTTCAGCCAGATGATCAAGGCCAACATCAATTATTATTAATCATGTTGATAATATGTCTTCATGATATGATATCAAAAAAGGACATTTTACCTCTGTGGTCTTCTTCCCAATAACCCATACATAGCTCCAGCTTAATCATGACAAAGGTAGCAGACAAATTTCAATAGAGGGGCATTCTACAAGATACCTGATCAGTACTCCTCAAAACTTTCAAGGTCATCAAAAACAAGCCAAGTGTGAAAAATTGTTACAGCCAAAGGAGGCTAAGGAGGCATTATGACTAACTGTAATGTGGTATCCCAGATGGAATCCTGGAACAGAAAACAGACATCAAGTAATAACTAAGGACATATGAGTAAAGTAAGAACTTTAGTTAATATTAGTATATCAATACTGGCTCATTAATTATAATGAATAAGTTATACTAAGGTAAGATTTTAAAAGGGGAAACTGGAAGCAAGGTATATGGGAACTCCCTGTATTGTCTTCTTTATTTTTCTGTAAATCTCTAACTGCCCTAAACACTGAAGTCTATTCAAAGGAGAAAAGACTAATTATGAAAGTCTTCAAAGGTCCAGAGTTATTCTATTCTAAACTCCAGTGAACGTTGCTTATGCTTTTCTTCCTATCTAGAAAACTTTTCCCAATAACTATGTACATAGATGAGTAATATCCTTGTATAAGAGACTGGCTTTTAAATTTTCTGAAACACAACAGAGGGAAAAAAATACATTTTACATTGTTACCCATGGTGTACAGATGAACACACACACAAACACACACATACACACAAGTTGTGTGTGTCATATAACTGAAATGAAAAATACTTTGCAGTGCATGATATTTTTTATTCTATTCTGTTCTATTATATTTATTCTTGTCTATTCTAGTTAATTCTACCTTATTTTGTTATTTTCTTCTAATTGCAACCTGCAGTTGGAAAAACCCTACTTTAAGGTTTAATTAACTTAAGGGTTAGCTTCTCTAAGATGTCTCTGCATTGTTCAATATGGCAGCCACTAGTCATCCAGGGCAATTTAAATGTCTAGTGTTTAATAGCCACCATGGCTAGTGGCTACCATATTGGAGAGCAGAGATAGAGAATATTTTCTACATTGTAGAGTATTTTGTTGGATAGTGCTATGGATTCTCCCTATCTGTTGCTTGCACTAATGAAATAGCCTACCTACTTTTCTCTTTTTTACCTTACAATCTGCTAAACTGCTGCTAGAATTAATTGTCCAAACTTAACAGATTCATTTCTCTTCTTAAAACTTTCAATGGCTCTCCATTTCCTACAAAATAAAACCTTTGGTTAAGGCCCTTCACAGTTTCATTTCTTCACTTCTCCAGTTAAATCTCTTAACTCTCCTGCTAAATGCCATTCATTCTAAAGCTTCTATGTTTTCATTCATGCTCTTTTCTTTTCTTGAAATTTTCTTATGCCCCTTCTCTGCCAGATAAACTCCTATTTTAAGCTATTGCTTAAAGAAGCTATTTTAAGGCATATCTTCTATACCCTTTCTTCTATGGAAAATTCTCACAAGACCCCTCCCCTGCAAAGGAAAATATATTACTCTCTTTTATGTGTTATCATTGTAGCAACATTTTTAGTTATGCACAGTCTGTTTCCCCCACAAGACTATGAGGGCTATGGGTACTGGGAATGTACGGCATTCATCTCATTATCCCCAGTGCCTGGTTGGTGCGCTGGTCTGATGGCTGACTGACTGATGCAGCTGTAAGGTGGTTGAGGGCAGGAATCACACTCGAACTTACTTAATATTCCCACAGCACAATGTGGGGATCATAAAAGGTGCTTCTGAATTCTCATTGTCTGCTTTCAGGCAATGAGTTTTAGACAGATTGTTCTGTGAAAATTCAGTACAATCTATTTTTCTGAAAGATGGAAGAGAGCTGGTGTTAAATTTTTAATATATATATATATATAACAAATGCATTTTTATTTTCTCATAATGTTAAAAGTTCATGGACTCTGCAGGGGCATAAAAAAGACTTATGATGTAGTTTTAAATCCCATTAAAATTGCTTTTAGAAGTGCTTGCTCTAAGTGAGTAATAATTTAAAATTGGTAAGTAGAAAAGTGGTTCTAATGGGAAACAGCCCATGCTGGGAACACCTGCACACTTGAAGACCTGAATTCTATTGCAGCCCTTTTCCTCTCTTTCTATTTATTTATTTTACTTGTGTCCTTGGGCAAATTCCAAAATCATTTTGTGTCACAGTTTCTCCATGTGTAACATTAAGGTAATTGACTCTAAGCCTATTTGAGTGATGTAGTAAGGAGAGTTTGAATGGGTTTTGGCTCTTTAGAAGTAATCGTAATAGTCACGACAACTGTAGTATCTTGTCATTACTTGTGGATTGGTAAAACTTTAAACCACTTGCAAGATTTCACTAAATTATAAACTCAAAGACTCTTTGTGAGATACAAAGACATACAATTATTTCTTGTATTCAATACATGAATGTGGTTTAAATTCATCTGATTAATGGCAAAACCTCATATTGCTTTTGTGTAAGGATTAGGCATAACCACAGTGTATTGACTTCTCAGTTTCCAGATACCTTGCTCTACATTTTCTGTGGGTGACCCTAAAGTTTTCTGTGCCCCACAGAAAATTCCATCCTTGTCTAAATTTTGGGGGGAGAATTTCCTTTTCATCTTAGAACACTCCCTAGCCTTCCTTTGGCAACCAATTCTCATGTTGACAGCAGAGTGAATACCAAAAGTCAGATTATAAGTGAGGATTTGGTGTCCAAGTTTTTAGAGGGAGCTGATAAAAACCAACTTAAAAGTTTATGATGAATCAAAGCTAGGGAAGAAAATCAAACAACCATAGGGCAATTAAGAAACTTTCTCTACACATTCATTAGTTGGATAATTTGATAGACCCTCTAGAGAGTAAGAAACCAACAATTGTAAGTCAAAGCACATTATTGCTTTAGGCAACAAAGTTACTCTAATTAAACTTTATAATCTTATACTTGGACATTTAGTGAAATGATATATTAGAAGGAAAAACTCTCACCAACAGTTTAGTTAAGTTGTTGTTGATATAGTATTTTGTGTTATATACAAGAACAGAGTGCTTTGTGGCTATCTGAACTCATCTTATTTAAATATTTATTTTTTATTGAGGCAAGGTCTCGCTCTGTTACTTAGGCTGGAGTGCATAGGCATGATCACAGTCAGCAGCCTTGAACTCCTGGGCTCAAGAGATCTTCCTGCCTCAGCCTCCCAAGTGGCTGGGACTATTGGCCCATGCCACCACATTCAGCTAATTTTTTAAAAGCAGTTTTGTAGAGGGCAGGTTGCACTTTGTTGCCCAAGCTGGCTTGGACTTCTGGGTTCAAGTGATCTTTCCACCTTGACCTCCCTCCCATGGTGATGGAATTACAGGTGCAAGCCACCACATCTGGCCTGAACCAACTTTATTGAGTTCCATTTTTATTAACACTAACAAAAGCAAAACAATAAAAAACATGTATTTCTAGTCCAACTACCAATTGACGCCTTTGCGAAATGTGGCATGTGTTGAGCAAGTGCAATTTCAAGGCAGTCCTTTTCTTGGTCATCTTCTGATAGATGACAGAGAAATTTATCAGTGAAAAATTTCTGGCTGGGAAAGAAAATTTGGAATTTGACTTTAACAAAAATTCTCATGATAATATAGAAAATACTAAATTCAGATCAGATTAATCTCAATATTGTATGGCTATCAAAAAGAAGATATATATTTAGGAAACAAAAAGAGTGCCATATACATTGATGCTGAGTAGATATTTGGAGTAGGAAGAGAAATTTGTAACAAGGGAATGGTCTATCTTGTCTTGCTCCTGGTGTCCTTTCACTTCCTAACATAGAAACAGGGCAAGTATCCCTGTTTATTTCTGGCGCTGAAAGGGAGAGTAGGGCAAGGTTTAGCTACAATGTCATTTCTTAGTATGAGCTTCTTTGTAACTATTTTATTTAAAAAGAAAAGAAAAGAAACTCTGTTGTTATATAAAGAAGGACAAGAGAAAATATATAGCTCTTTTTCCTTTCAAATATATTGTTGCCAAGGGATGCCAGGTTGTTTTTAGAAGCAAAAAGTAAACAAACTGCAACACTAACAATGGCCTTAAAGCCACTAAAAGTTATTTGCCAAATCATTAAAGTGTATCCACATTCACAGAAGCATTATTCACAATAGTCAAAAGGTGGAAACAATCCAAATGTCCATAGACAAATGGATGGATAAATAAGATGTGGTGTGTACATACAATGGAATATTATTCAGCTTTAGAGCACAAGGAAATTCTGGCACATGCTACAACACGGATGAGCCTTTGTTGATAGAGTGGAATAAGTCAGCCACAGAAATGGTATAATTTCACTTATGTGGGGAATCTAGAATAGTCAAGCCATAGAAACAGAAGAATGGTGGTTAGCAGGGGTTGGGGAGATGTGGAAATACAGAGTTGTTGTTTAATGGGTATAGAGTTTCAGTCTGGCAAGATGAGAAAGTTCTAGAGATTGGTTGAAGATCAATGTAAATATACTTAACACCATTTAAGTGTACTCTTAAAAATAGCTAAGATGTTAAATTATATGTATAGTTTACCACAATTAAACATTAAAAGAATAAGTGAATAACCCTAAAAATTATGAAGGACTGAATTTTTAAAATAAACTTTAAAACAGTCTGAACAATATTTGTAATATTGTTTAATCCAAAACTGAATAAACAAATAACCCCAAAGTTCTTCAAATAATAATTATGAGGTCCCAATTGAGGTTCCCTTCTTCGTTTTCAAGACATAAGGGGAAACCTGGGAACTGCCAAACCCCCAAGAACCTTCTTAAGAAGAGAGCTGACATATTTAGGTTTATTCTTGGCATTGGTGAAATTCTAATAGCTTAATCTCCTACAGTACTTGTGGGAATTGTGAATTCTATGATATTCTTAACTGCCTTAGGAAACACTTGCTTGATGTTTATTTCTAGAGCCTTTGCTTTTCTTAAGAGCTAGAAGTCTGACCATGAAAAATTAAGACTTTTTCTCATCCCTTCTTATTGTTATTATATTTTATGAATCTTCAGCAACTGAAGATTTTTATCCAATGATTTGAGGGTGAAGAAGGTAAGTTACTACAATATTGATCTGTCAGAAGCATGTTGTTCTCAGAGTTCTGCCAAACAAATCTGGTTGTACAAGGGTCTCATTAGCCAAGACCTTTCCAATAGTGTTTTCTAATTATAATTGCCTGTTTCCTTTACACTTTTTTGGGGGTAACATTGAACAGATATGTTTATAAAACTTTTTTAAAAACATATTTATCTGTCTCTCCCACTTCTGATTATTATTTCTTACTACACTGTTTGGAAAGCTCTGGTGATGAGGTCAGTGTTTTTCTTATTTTGGTGATTGACAACATCGAACTTTCATAGATGTGATTTTGTGACAATAGTAATCTAGTCTGCTGGCGTTTCATTTCCCTCAGTTGATCTGCTTCTGTGTTGCAGTTATTAATGCTTTTACAGAAATGAGTGGAGGCTAGGGGTGGTGGCTCATGCCTGAAATCCCAGCACCTTGCGGGGCTGAAGTGGGAGGATCACTTGAACCCAGGATGCTGAGGCTGCAGTGAGCTGTGGTTGCACCACTGCACTTCAGCCTAGGCAACGAAGTAAGACTCTGTCTAAAAAAAAAAGAAAGAAAAGAAAAGAAAGAAAAAAAGGAAAAGGAAAGAGTGGAGAGCTAGGCAGATCAGGCCATAGAGACAGACATAGCATTGATAAGGTGCTCTCTTTGCCAAACCCTGAATCAAGGCACACTTTCCTGCTTGGTGGGTTACACTGCTGTATTCCAGGTCAGATGGTTTCCGAGATATGCTGGAGACAGAGACAGAGGGAATGTGGGAGGGAAAGTAGAAGTTTATAGTAAGATTCAGGAGTATTCAGTCAAAACATGTTGCTTTAGGCACCTAAATTACTTAGATTTTATAATCTTATACTTAGAAGTGAGTTACTGAGATGATATACTAAAAGAAGAAAACTCTCATTGACAATTTAGCCAGGTGGATTTCTGATTCTCCTGAGAGCAGTGTAGATATATTACCGCTGGCTTCATCCTCCTTCACCTGCTTCCAGCCATACGGCTACCTATATGCTTCCAGTGCAAAGCAGAGGATTAGTGAGATAAAATGATTTATTCCCTCTGGAAAAAGCTGGCTTGTTGCAGGACCAATGGCATAGGGAACCTTCCAACACGTAAAAAGACCTATACTGAGATATTGTGTAAGTTGAATAGTAGCCGCCCAAAAGCTGTGTCAATGTATTGGAACCAGTGAATATGACCTTTGTGGAAGAAGAGTTTTTGTAGTACAATTAAGAATCTTGAGAAAAGAGCATCCTAGATTACCCAGATTAGCCTTAAATCCAAGGACAACTGTTTTTAAAAGAGAGACATAGAGGAGAAGGTCCTGTGAAGACGGAGGCGGAGATTGGAGTTAGGTACGCACAAGCCAAAAAATGCCTGAAGCCGACAGAGCAGGAAGAGGTGAGAAAGAATTCTCCCTAGAGCCCTTGGAGGGAGCACAGCTCTGCCAACACTTTGACTGGAGACTTCTAGCCTTTGGAACTCAGAGAGTAAACTGTTGTTTTAAGCCACCAAATCTGTGGTAATGTGTTACAAGAGCCCTAGGAAGCAAATACACAGGTCTTCCTTAGACATGGTAGAATCTTATAATGTGAACCCTTTGCAGGGAATAGAAACCTTTTTTTTTTTTTTTTTTTTTTTTTTTTTCTGAGATGGAGTTTTCTTACGTTGTCCAGTCTGGTCTGGAATTCCTGGACACAAGTGATCCTCCTCACTTCAGCTTCTCCAGTAGTTGGTATGATAGGCATGCACCACTGCCCCTGGCAAAAATAGCAGTTTTCAGTGCCAGTGTGGTAGGCAATGACTAGATACCTAACTTAAATTATCTCTGTTTTAAAGATGAAAAAGCTGAGGCTTAATGTCTCATGAGGGCCATATGGGGAGCTAGGTAAGAATCCTGCTGACAGGTGGTATGGTGAAGTGGTTACAAGCTTGGGTTCTGGTCCTGTCTGGGTTCGAATCCCGGCTCTCTTCTTACTAATTTTGTGACCCTGGCCAAGTTACTCAATCACTCTGACCCTCAATTTCTCCAACTGCAGAATAGGAATGATAAGATAACTTCATTCACACAAATGCTGGGATGACTAAAAAGTATAAAATATTTAGAATAACACATAGAAAGAGCTAAGTGAATGTTAGCTGCTATGATTACTACCACACTATGGTAATATGCTGTTGCTAGGTTATGACTACCAAGCAAAGAATGAAATCATTAGATCATTTTTAAGGCAGGGCATGTAACTTTTATTGGTTACCAAATTCAAAACCAGTATTAGGGAGGTTATTCTTCAGAATGTTTACTCAATTTTGGTGTGGCTGTCATAAAGGAGACAAAAAGCCTTCAGTAACCTCAATGGTAACTGTTCTTTGCTGAGTACCTTACAGTATTTTACAAATGCCACGCATCCAACAAGTATTTTTGAATTAGTAAAATCAAGCTTTATTAATGTTAAGGTAATACTAAGTTTTCCAAAATATTTTGAAATGAAGAAACTATTACCAACCATTTCAAAGTTACAAATTTCCTAAAACACTATAGCAAAAGGCAGAGGATTAGGAAACAATCATTCATAAGATAAATCTACTTCTTTTTGCACATCCCCTACCCTTGACTGATAGGTCACTTTTACCATAGGTCACTCAGTATAGATTGAATAAAATTGAGCAGGCAGCTAGTAATATCTAGGTGGTTTTTCTTTTTTTGGTAATTCTGTTTCCTTTCGTTTCTTTATTAAAAATAAAAGAACCAGAAAGAAAATGAATGTTCTATTATAAACACTAAGCATCTTCATTTTAATTTTTAATATTTCTGTAAAACAGTGTTTTCATTTTACCATATTTTTTCTTAATTTGTCTGATCTGGTTAATTAAATGCTTATTAAAACATACATTCCTCTTTTGTACCAAAGGTCTTCAAGGATAAGATGCTGCTCCATTTAAATAAAAGATGAAGTATGTCGAAACACAAGCAGGCTTTAACCAGCAGACCCATAAATAAGAGAGTAGCTGGTGCTACACAATTCTAACACTGGCACTTATACTGGGATTGACTTCTTCTGGGCTAGGAGTTCTTAACCTGGAGGTCAAGGACTTGGGGGAAGAGTCCTATGAACCCCTTGCAATGCATGCAAATTTTGCATAAACATTGTTCTGCAGACATTTCAAAGAAGTTTGCAGTATCCATAAGCTAAGACCACTGTTTCAACATCAAATGACTAAAGCTAATTGCCCCATTTTATTTCTTTGTAACATCTTAAATGCTGATATTATATCTAGTGTATAAATGTTTGCTGGCTGCTTTAAAAATGCCATCTCACAATCAAAAAAGTGAGATTTCTAAAAGCAAAGCTCCATGATATAATCAGAATTTACTTGCCTAATAAAGTCCAGGTCTGGGTCTCCAGCCTTGCTCCTTCAGGAAATGATTCTGTATGGGTTACTTCTCCTCTCTGGGTTGCTGTTTCCTCATCTGCAAAATAAAGATTTGAATTAAATAAACCAAAAGATGTCCTCATATTTTAAAATTGTACTGTCCCATGTAAAAGGTCATTAAACCACCTAGATGGATAATCTCTCACAAAGGTCTAGAATGTATTATAAAAACAAGTCACAGCAAGCCAACCTTATTTGAAAAACTATTTTTAGAAAATGTCACAGTTTGAGGACGTGCCATTGACTAATGATTCCCCAATTACACTCTGAGGACTATAAAGTGTCACAGGTACCAGGGTTGAGGGGAGGCCCAAGGAGGGACAAAGAGAGGGGCTAAGAACACCCCACCTCACTTCTTTTGGAGGAGACTGCTTTTGATCTGTTTTCTAATTCAGTTTCTGGGTGAGATTTTTGTCTGTAGAAAATATCTCTTGACTTTATTAGTCTCTCTTAACATGGGGGACACAGTGAAGAGATTACATTAATCGCTATCTATAAAAAATCTGTCTTTCAAATCACATTGGATATAGTCAGAAGCTTTAAGGCTTATATCTTATTGTGCCATTTATTTGATGTGTCACATCAGGCATGTCATACAGTTTTTCTCAGTCTTTTTCCTCACATATAGAACAGTGATACTGTATGCATAGATTAGTTGTGAGAATTAAGTGAGAATATATCTATGACAATGTCTTGTAATTTTTGAAGTATCATAAAGATGGTTAGTGTGTCTTCAGTAGTTAGACCCAGGGTTTTGCATTTTGCCCTGACTATTTGTAGCATTTTTTTTGTCCATATGAATTAAGTTATGAAAAGTACATATGATCAAATTTCCAGGTGATCCCATATTATGGGGTAGGTGCATAAGAGATTTAGCAGATTGCAGATTCTGAGGGTAAAAAGAGGAAATAAAGAGTCCTGTTCTTTCATACAAAAAGTCAATTGGCAAGAATAAGACTGGAGAAAATTTGGCTTATAAGGAGTGCAGGTAAAACCACTAAGGAATTTTTATTGACTTCAAGTTCATTTTGAACTTATAGTATTGTGATATGATTGGCAAATAAATAAATAAATAAATAAATAAATAAATAAATAAATAAAAATAAAGAAGCAATCCAGTATTCTTACATAGCTGTAGAAGTATGGTGTCACCTAGCGAAAAAAGGTTATGCCTTTTGGCCTTGTTTAGCATCCTTCTTCCAGCTGTTAAAATGGTCACTCCAGCAAGCTAAGCATATCCATAGAAATCTAGATGGAGAAATCCTGGAAGGTTTCCTCTGGGAAATGCTGGGAGATTTGTGGGGAGGAATGTGTCATGGAGGTCTCAAAAGATCTAAAAGGTATTAAAGGGTGTTATAGGCTGTTGTGGAGAAGAAGATTTAGAACTGTTGTGTCGTTTTCAGAGGTGAATCTTAGGAAACACTTTAAACGATAAGAGCTGTCTAAAGGGGAATGGGTTATGTGATGAGGTGGTGAGAGCTCCATTAAGAAAATTGTTTAAGCAGAGGCTAGACAACACCTTCTAAGGGTTGCTATGAGTCAGGAGGCAGTTTTTAAGAAGATACTACTAAAATCTCACCAGTTTTAAGATAATATTTCTATAGTAGAATTAAATATTCCACTAGAGAATGATTTACTTTGTTAAAAATGTTTTTGCCATATTAAAAAAAGTGTGGAGTTTGAAATTGGCAAAGTGGAGTTTGCTATTGCACAGTATTTGGATATTGTTTAACCTCCTTGAACATTAGTTATGTCATCAGTAACATGGAGATTATTAATTATTTCTGTATTGTTGTGGAGATTAAACAGCACAACATTGGTGAAAGATTCTTAGTAATCACTGGTCTTAGTAAGAGCTCAAAGATAGCAACTTTTGTCACAATTATTTGTTCCTTCTATTTTCTACATGCATTTTGTTTCCTCTTATCTAACAGAATCCTTATAGGTGATTCCATTGAATCCTTTAGGGTTGTATGATACAAGTGGGTAAAATGATAACTCCCATGAGTCTGGGAGAAAGAATTCACCCTGAAGGAAGTTAGCAGATCACAGAGGTACCAAGTCATCTGTTTTGTGTTTGCATTGATGTTTGTTTCCTCCCAAATAGAGGTAACCTGTGGAACAGCTTTTTTGTTGTTCTAAACTACAACCTGATTTTCCTGCCCATCAAAACCAGAACTAGGCCAACCTGATTGATTTCTTTTTTCTTTGTTCAAAGTTTTAGGCAACAAAACAACCTATTAAAATTTTAAGGCCCGAGCTCTTTATCACAGAGTAGACATGGTATCTGCAGAACTATTGGGTTCAGTTATGTATGTTTCTATGCCTATTTTTTCTATCAATAAAGAGAACTTAAATCAATTTTACCTAAAAATTACTCAATGGGTGAGTTAATAAAAGAGAAGCACTTTACTATTCTTAGAAAAAGATCAAACACATGAGATCCTGTTCTCTCAAGCATACTGCCAAATATTAAGTAAGAATCTTCCACTTCAAATGCATGAAACTAAGGGACAAATGTACTGACACCCACCTCCTCCATGACAGTCCTTTGGTAAGGAGTTCACATCACATTTTTAAGCTGTTCACTTTGTTTCTTAACTACTTTTTGCTTTTTCTTCTAAAAATCAAATTTGTACTCCACAGCATTAACTGTTGTAGATTCTTCCCACTCCCCCAGATATTAGAATTGATTTTTTTTATTCTATAAAAAAGAAATTAGAATCTATAGTTAATCAAAATTGATAACTGTGAGAGTGGGAATGATCAAGGTAAAGCTTGTTATTGCTTAAACAGTTGCCTTGTTTATGATGACAAATAATTAGATTAAAAAGCTGCATGACCAGACTGTGAAATAACTTATTTAAAGGATTATAAGAGGAACTGGGGCTATTTAACATATATTATTCATAAAGCCCATGAAACTTCAGTAAGCACTTTCCACAGTATCTAATTTAGTGAGTAGTAGTTATATTATAAATGCAGAGTTTAGGCAACATTTATAAGAAGTTGTTGAATTTTTCTGTTGCAGCTTTGTGCAATATGATAGTAATAGCAATATGCACATATGTATATTTCTTTGTATTATCTATAAATATATATATACATGCGCTAATATGTATGTATATTGTTTCTAAATTTAAAAGTTGTCAAATTAATTTATTTTATAATTTTAAAATAAGGTGTCAATTATGTTCTTAAGAGTTTACAGTTGCTAAATACTAGATTAGAAAATTACTTATTTATTTCTAAATTTTATTTCCATTATGTTGGTTCCACTGTTTCACTTAAGGGATTTTAGAGAAGACCAAATGTAAACATTTTAGAAAAAACATTTCTTTAACTCTTAACTTCACTAGAGAGATATGATTCTATGTTATATGACAAATAATGCTTCTCCATCAATAGTATAATACATTTTAAAAAGTCTCTAGAAATAGTACAGTTAATCAGATTTTCTTGGCTATTTAAGTGACAAATACTGAATTTTGTATATTATGTTCAATATTAGTGAGGGTAGATCAGATAAAGATAGTAGTTAAGTTAGAATTTGTTGACAACTCTGTCAGAGAAATATTGCTGCTATGCTAATAGACTTTGATTTTTAAGCACAAAGAATAATTTGTTTATTAATAGTTTTGACCACTGTTAAAGCTGTACCTGCTCTTATAGATATAAAATATCCCCTGAAATATCACAATACAATTATAAAATATCATATGAAAAATAGACACCCATAATTTTACCATTTTTATAAAACTTTGTATATTGTTAACATTTTAGAATTTTTTTCTATGCATATTTTTCTGTCACTCTTGGTTGTAATCAAAGTATGTATTTCATTTTGTATCTTGATTTTTTCAATTAATTTTGCTTAAAAGTATTTTTAAATATCTTCACACAGTTTTCTAATCATCTTTCTAATGATTGCATTAGGCTAAATTTCAAGGTACCTCAAGATTTATACCATTCATACCACAAGCATTTGTTAGTCACTAATATAAGCTTAGCATTGTCCTAGGCACTTTACAAAAACTTCAACCCCTGTGCATTCTATGGGAAGATGATAGAGGACGTATAGATGGTACCTGAAAAAAAAATCCATAGAGTCTCAAATTCAGTGCTATGACTCTCCTAGTGTTAAGTACTCCAGTTGTTCATTAGGTTGTTGATTATCAGCCAAGGTAGTAAAAGATATGTGCATATGTTTTTGTAGATCCTGTGTCAGTGAACTTAAACTACCTTTTTTCTTTTTCCATTTCTCTATCTAAGCAGATATACAGCAGTCATAGCCTAGTAATAATGATCAATATATTTTGAGACTAAAGGAAAGTTCTGTCGGGATGGTTGATCAGAACAGCTTCTATTTCCAGTGGGCTTGGGTCTGAGTGCCAAGCATCACCTGGATATTGACATGCTTTTCTTCATGTGTAATGGCTTCCAATTCAGAGATCCCACAGTCATCAAAGGTTCCATGCTGAGTAATTAAAACAAAAACGTTTTTGTGACATTTAAAATTTCCTACAAGGATCCCTTTGGTAGGGGAAAAGCCCAAGCATATTCTCTCTGATAGAAGTAGAAGAAAGCAGCAAAGTTACTTTGCTTCCATATGTTGGTCTCAGGTTAACTTTTCATCTCATTTGAGTGGTAACAGATTACTCCATATGAGGAGGCACTATGCTAATTTTGATTAAAGGTCATGCAAAGAAAAAAAGAATTAGATTTTCAAAAGAAGCAAAAGATAATACAATATCCTTAGGTTTAGATAAGACTAAACTTCAAGTAAGATACATCTATATATATATATATGGATATTTGTTTTGTTTTATTTGTTTATCCATATATATATATATATGGATATTTGTTTTGTTTTATTTGTTTTCTACTTCATCAGTGAACATTCATTGATTCTTATGGGGCATGACATTTTATGTGGCACAATGACAATGTTCTAGGACATAAACATGAACTGGTTGGTATTTTTGGCTATCGATGGGGAATGTAAGTATGGTATTATTGCTCCAGAAAAGTTGCTTT